TGGAGTAAGTGACAGTTGCTTAGGTTTCAGCAGGAGGAGGGAAGGACATAGAGGAATACAGCATGACTGATGCATGTGTGTACCATTTGGGGGGGAGGGGGGATTGTTTTGTTATTAGTGTGACCTATTATTACGTAAATAATTGTGGACAGTAAATTAGCATAGAATGGTTTGGACTTGTAGCACAAGCTGGGAATATCACTGTAATGTGCAGTAACACATTCTGCTCATAATTTGAGTTTTGTCCCATGTATTTATAGCCTTGCTTAATATATCCTGTGCTGTGACTTTACTGGTTACTGCTTAACTCTCTCCCACCCCTCTTGCCCCCCCACACATCTGCCCCAGTCATCCCTCTCTCTCTCGCTGGTGACTGCTTCGGTTTCAAGAGTCTATTCTCCCAGAGTTCACACCACAAGGAGAGGGTGGATTGAAAATGCAGATTGTAAAAGTTGAAGTGGAAGAGGCTGTACCGATGTAAATGTGTACATAATTTTACTTAACAGCCACACTGACTCGTGAACCTTAAAAGGGGCTTATTCTGTTGTTGCATGCAGTATCTCCACTGGCCTTAACAGGCTCATAGAATGCACTTTTTTTTTTAATCGAGCATATCAGTTTACATGTAACACATTATCCATAATTGATTCCTTTATCTACTAGTCATCACATGTGAAATAAACTTCTCCAGAATTGACCACTTATCTATTATTTATTTGGGAACAAACTATCCATGCCATAAAAGACAGAAAAATAAGAGCCATTAACATCTTAGAAGTTGGGGGGAATGAGATGAGATATCCAAGAAATAAGTATGCATAAAGAGACTGGAGAGATTAGATAAAAGTAGTTTCTGAGGACGGATGTGCCACTGCTGCTGGATTGGAAACAATGCAAGTTAAGACCCAAGATAAATTAAATTGCATCACCGGCGATTAGTCAAGGGTTCAAGCCTCAGCCTGGACTCACGTGAGAAGGGTGTTATCCAGTGTGACCCTACCTAACATCACAGGTTTCCTGGTTCCCCCGTTTCCTTCCTGTACTAACAATGGATAGAGCGCCCAAACGGCTAGTAAGCATATAAGTGGCGAAGAACAGAAAATGTGCTCAGAGCAATGACTACAGATGATAAGGAGAGGACTTTATCTGTATTAAATTATCTCCAGTCATTGGAGACATTAATCCACTGCAAAGACACATTTTGGGAAAATACACAAGTGGCTTTATATGGTAATTCAGTTAAGACATACACGCAGAGATGTCAAATATATTGTGGTATATTCAATCCAATATTTCCACAATCATATTATTTCAATGGTAATGCCTTTTTAATTTCAATAAATCTCTTCATACATCTGGCTAAAGTCAAACATCAATAAAAATTTTTGTTATCTTTAATATAGGTACAAATACAGAATTATTACAAAATACAAAACTCCAAAGTTCATGACTATTACATAATTTTCAGCCATAAACAAGTCATCCAAAAGTCAAGAACATGAGCAGGCAGACCAACACTCACTTGGCACGTATTGGGAAATATATTTTCTGTATTATTTCTTTGAACTGGATGAAAATCATCTTTCAAATAGTCACATGCAAGCTCTGTTTATAGATATATAACTTATAGACAACACCAAATATTATGAGATGTTAAACACATCCACCGAGAAGATCATTTCCTATATTCAGTGAAATAGTTTTTAGAGCATAATGTAGCAGCGCAATCCTGAAAGGTTTATACATTCAGTACAGCCAAACAGGACACAAAACTTTTTTTAAGAGTTTAATCAAAGGATTCACAATCTGATATCAAAAGTGATATGAAAGATGTAGGTTTTTTGCCAATTATGACATCAACAGACTGATGAAATGTTATGGTAAGATGATATATATATATATATATATATATATATATATATATATATATATATATATATATATATATATATATATATATATATATATATATATATATATATATATATATATATATATATGTATATATACGTCTATAACCCCCCTTCGTATATAGGTCGACCCCGATTTTATGACCAAGAAATCGTTAATTTATGATATTCCTCGTTTATAGGTCGACCCAAGATTTTGAGGGTAATGGAACAACAAAACCTTCAGAAAAACTCTACGTCCTATAAACTTGTTTACCATTTATTATTACGACACTTTACACTGAAACGCAGGTAGTTTCAACAAAAATATTGTATATTTCCATTCAAGTATTTATTCAAGTCAATTAGGAGGGAATATTATTGTAATACAACAGTTTTTTAACTAAACCATTCGAAAAGCGATTACGGTAACATCTTTTGAACGAAAGAAAGCGAGTCATTGTTTTCGTCACGATTTTATCCCACTTTCCACTGTAATACGTACGTAATTTCAGGAAAAAATATTACATTTCCGTGAATGTAGTATATCAAGCACAGTATGAATAGAATATCATTGTAATATAACAGAATTTTAACCGAAAACTATTAAAAAAAACGAATAACATCTCAAGAACATCGGAAGCTTAGGTGAAGTCTTTTGTTTTCGTCATGTATTTTATCCTATTTTACATTGAAATACATCACGTTTCAGCAAAACTACTATTTATTTCCGAGAATATATTCATTCAGGCACAGTTTAGGTAAAATATACGTGTGATGTAATAGTTTTTTAACTGAAAACGATTCGAAAAACACGTTCCCTCTAGCCCTGTTCAAGGAGAGGACTGGGAGAAGCTGTTTGGTGCTGCAGACGATGACAAGGAAAATGATTTTGATGGATTTTAATGAAAATATTCAGAAATATGGTATCGTAATATTTATTCAAGTCAATTAGGATATTATTGTAATACAATACAACAGTTTTTTAACTAAACCATTCGAAAAGTGATTACGGTAACATCTTTTGAACGAAACAAAGCGAAAGTCATTGTTTTCATCACAATTTTATCCCACTTTCCACTGTAATACGTATGTCATTTCAGCAAAAAATATTACATTTCCGTGAAGGTATTATATCAACCACAGTATGAATAGAATATCACTAATATAACAGTATTTTAACCGAAAACTATTAAAAATACGAGTAACATATCTTGAACATCGGAAGGTTAGGTAAAGTCTTTTGTTTTCTGCATGTAGTTTATCCTAATTTACATTGAAATACATCACGTTTCAGCAAAACTACTATTTATTTCTGAGAATATGGAAATGTAATATTTTTGCTGAAATGACGTACGTATTATAGTGGAAAGTGGGATAAAATCGTGACAAAAACAATGACTCGCTTTCTTTCGTTCACAAGATGTTACCGTAATCGCCTTTTGAATGGTTTTCAGTTAAAAACTGTTATATTACAATAATATTCTATCCTAATTCACTTGTGATGTAAAAGTTTTTTAACTGAAAACGATTCGAAAAACACGTGTACCGTCTAGCTGATACGGCAGAGCCCTGGTCGTGGAGGCTTTGTGTTTGCATCGGCCCTTCTTAAGCAGCTTTTAATTTTAGCGTACGTTGAAATTGTGTTTACCGGTGTATTCTTATTTTCTTGCTTCTTATTTTCCAGAAATATGACAAGTTTTTATATAATACAATGTTACGGTACTTTTAATTTAGAAGTATTCATTTTTAAAAATACAGAAGACACCAAACAAATACTAGTACGGATATTTGCGTGACTCTCCCGCCAAAAAAGACCAAACAGCTGGTACTCTCTCCCTCAGCCCTACCAAAAATAGCCCAACATCTTTCTTGTTTATTCTCTTCCAATTTCTCACTTTAACTGGTATTTTTTACTTCATATTGCCTACATCAGATAAACTACAGTAATTGAGGTTAGATATTGTTATAAATTTGATTACCGGGTCCTGGCAGGTACCGTTAGAACCACCTGACCCTACCAACAGTGTTGCAAGTCAGACAGCATTTTTTTTTTTTTACATTTTTGGTGTCTCCATTTGTTAATTTTTTTTCTGTGGGGTTTGCACAATAGTATACTGTTTTACCTACAGTATTGTAAAACGATTTGGGAAAAGAAATACTCGGTAACTTAAAATTTTAAAAGGAAAATTTTGAAACTGGCAACTGTGTGTAGATGACCTGACTCACATCATATTGATGTTTCAAATTTAATTAAAAAAAATTTATGTATCTATAAATACACTTTTAAAAATGAATACTTTATGTTTTACATACTCCTGTGCATACCATACCATGCATTTGGCTACTTTGGGCTTGCTATGATGACGCAAGAGATCTGCCCTGGCAACTGTACCGACACTCACAGCGGGTGGTGCGTTGGTGCATCGTTTCCATTGTTTACTGGTAGTTACTGGTAAATTTTTTTCAACCTAACGAAACTATTACCCGTATAGAGGTCGACCCCCAACTTTTTGCCAAAAAATTTGGTCTTAAGAACTCGTGCTATACACGGGTATATACGGGTATATATATATATATATATATATATATATATATATATATATATATATATATATATATATATATATATATATATATATATATATATATATATATATATATATATATATATTTTTATATATATATATCATCTTACCATAACATTTCATCAGTCCGTTGATATATATATATATATATATATATATATATATGCCAGTGGTATCCACCCTTACCTACTTGCCATCAAGAGGCATACTGATGCCTGAAGGTAAAATATGACAGATCCTTTGTATGGTAATATTGCATGGGTAGTGGGAGACAGCCACAATACTCATGAATTAATTTCATTGCCATGCATAGACTATTCAAAATGAAAAAACTAGACACATTGAGCATATAGCACACAATAAAAAAAGGGGCTGAACTGAATATGAGTGTGAAGTGATTGAGTTTTATAAATACATTAACTATATCCCCATATAGATGAATCAACTTATATCACTGACATTTTTTCATACCATATACAGCTACACTGTCAACTCATCCTACCATAAGTTGGTAACAAAATAAACTAACTGACCTATGTATACTTAGGTGTTGATATGAAAATATATCATATTTTATTATAACATTTCAACTACTTGTAAAGGTCTGAAATAAAAATATAATGAGATATAGTGAAGGCCCCAATAACCCAAATTTCATTTATTTCATCACGTGTGTTTTCAAAGATTATGAATCCCCATCAAAATTATATGCTGCAAAGGCAGCATTTAAAATTATTTTACAAACTTTTCACAAATGCCTTGCTACAGTGAGAGAGCATTACTATGACATTCTCCAGCAATTGGAGACTAAAAACATGTATATTCTGTCAATCTCTACAATAACATTTATGTCATCAGTGATAAGGGAAATAACCCTGAGACATAAAGCTGCCATCAAACTAAGGTACCCTAAACATAATCTTCAGCAGAATAATACAAAAATACCAATACTATATCTGAAATTTTAACTTTAGCAATATTAACCAATATAAATCAGTCATTCAATATCATGCATGCCCTCTCACTCAGTAAACGCAGGCTACACAGTCAATCTTCACAAGACATTTCTCTTATTAACTCCATAGATCAAGGGTGTAAGTTTACCGCAATACCTATGCTCAAACAATGTTCCAAGAATCTTCATATGGTAAAATCAACTATTTGTGAAGGGCCTTGGCGAATGCATTACTGCATCACATTTAAAATAAATAAATAGCTGAAAACTTTTGGAACATAAAATTACAAATACAGTAAAACATAAAAACATTTGTTTTATATCAGTATTACTATGAAAGCATCAAGGGATCAGTTCACACAAAAAAGGAACCATCTATGACAAGAACTGGTGGCTGTCACCCTCATGCAGCATGGCTAGCCCACCTCTAACTTAAGGAGAACTAATCATAAAAGTTGACACATGAGAACAATTGTGCCATCAAGGCTCAGCTGAAGGGCATGATGTAACTTCATGTTGATGAAAAATTAAACCTAAATGAATCACAGACTAATTACATAAAAAAATTTAACGAGAGTATAGAAAGTTACACAATCTGCAATCAAAGTAGTACAACAGAGTCTGCTGGTAGAGCTGAAGCTACAGAGTTGATATTCTCGAAATTATTGTGTTACATCACAAGTCAACTTCCAAATGGAATACTTTTATTCTCATCAATTACTTAGATACAAAAAGTCAATCAACTTTGTGACCTATTGCATACAAATCTTTTTTCCAATAAATCGTCCCCACATTAAGTAAAGTAGTACATTTAAAATTGTTATAAATCTTACAACACATCAACAAACACTTGCAAAAAATAAAAATAAAATAATAATAATAAAAATATAATTGTTGGACAAATGTGTACTATAGGCATCTCTTCTTGTTGAAAAAAGCCACACAATTTGAAAAGAATGAGAGTGCTTTATTGAGGTAATGCTAGAATACATGCTTAATGGTGAATAAAATAAAAGGGGGTGGTGTATGGCATTGATGAAGAGCTGAGATTTAGAACATCCTAAAGACCCTTTACAAACCTGTAATATTAAAGATTTGAACCAATTCAACATCTTTACAAATAGCCAAAATCCTATGAAGAAGGAACATCTGCCTTTTTGATCATTTTCATAGATTTTGCTAAGCTCTGAAGAGAAACAAATCGACTCTTGATCCAGATTGTACCATTAGCAATTCCCAAAGCACACCATACACAGCACCATATAAAGGCCATGAAATTTGAGTATCACTTGTCACAGTTCTAGCTTCTGCTTACAGATAAGCTAAAGCACCTTCAGCCGGGATGACAGCCCTCAGTCCATGTCCTCCAACATTCATACAGATGAAGATGAATATAGTCCTGCACTGTTATAAGGCGAGTTGCTGTTGGCAGTCTCTATCTCCTTGGAGAGCCTTGTCATGATGTCCCGGTACACTAATGGGTCAATGTTTGTTGATAAAACATAAAGGATCCACCTGTTGAAGAGAATAGTTTTCAGTTCAAGGTCACAACTATGCAACACAGCTATGCTTCACCAATTAGACTAAAAATGAACAAAGAATCTTTAACTTCTATCTTTTTTGTTAAGTACTATATGAACAACAATCCATAACACTGCCAAACAGCATGTAATATGTGACACTCCCAACCCACAACACACACATGTGTATGCACAAACATACTGAATGTCTCAAAATATTCTTACTATCCCAATCACTACATTTTCTCATAACCTGCTATCAATATACCCTCACTAGTCCTGTCATTATTCTTCTTACTACTTTTTATACAGAACGGTATCCTTGTGCCAGCTTTGTTCATGTGTTCAAGGCTGTTAATATGAATTGCTTGCCAATTAAAATGGTTTAAATAATTTTCTAAAAGGACTAGTTATTTGATTGGCAACCATATCATGAAATGATACCAGTAATCAAAAGCTTCGGGAGACTTCATCCCTCAAACTCCCCCATTAAGATGTCACACAGGACTTCAAGCTGTTATGTGATCTCCATGCCTAACCTAGTGTGAAATATCATATTTACAAGTCTGGGATTTTATTTAATTTTCTGCAACATTCTTGTAACATAACCTACCACAAAAACTACTACACTACAGCTAAGTCTTGAGTACTAGATTCTACTTGAAAACCAATATTTTATCTTACCAGTCACCAATGGAGGTTTTATTTGTGATCGCTTCAACAGTCTCGATGGGGACAGCCTTATTATGCTTGTGCATTGCTCGTGGGCGCAAGCCAGGCAGGGTAAAGAGGGCAATGCGGTATAGGATGAGAGCCCCCAAAAGGGTACCCAAGATCACATACCAAAACCACACAGTGATGAAGACCTTAGGAATGAAAGGAAATTTGTCACTATTTGTACATAGCAATCTTCTATTAATGTGTTGTCTGAAGACATTGACACTTGCTTTTATGTGTATATTGGAAAAATTGCACTACAACTGTAAAATAATATCTAAATGTATAACATAACTTAAATTTCCTAAAATGGAGATAAAGGTGGACTAGTATGAAAAGAGATGGTCAAGTATCATCCAATAATCATGCCCTTGAAGTTTGGTTACTACAGTATAGCATATTTTCAGTGTTAAACACGTCTTCACTCATGCACGGCACTGTGTCTATGACTTTGGAAGTATGGTGGGGCACCAGAGTGTGTTTATGAGTATGTGTGGTATGGAGGCCAGAGCCAGACTGTGCCACCAGGCCTATGATGTCAGAGGTATGCTATGCATAATGATACACAGGTGTGAAGTAGTTCAGTAGTTCTCACCAACCGTGGGGTTAGGTTCCTGAAAAACCCTGTGGTTGGCAAAACTAACGGCTCATGGAAAATGGGTGGTTAGGTTCCATAGCTGCAGATCACACTCATCAAAGCCTAATTAAGTTGCCTGTTCCTTCCCTAAACAATACAATGTCTGTACAGTAGGGTCGTGATGATCCACAATTTGATACACTGCATTTGATTTATCACGAGTAACTACAATACTCCCATTATTCTTCATGTTCATGGGTCAGTGCAATACATCGTGAGTTTAACTTTCCCCAGCCACTTGTATCAACGTACCGCCACGCACCCGTCTCCCACCACACAAGCATCCTCCCAGTTACCAACTAACTTCCCTATTCTGTAGACGTGTATATCAACGCTCGTGTTTTTAGATTTTATCTAATTGTTGATGCGTTGAATACACAGTTTTACAATGTTCAAACATCATACAATGGCCCCTAGTCCAAGTGCACCTTCCAAGAGAAAAGGAAGACCTTCAATATTGAAGAAAAAATTAAAATCTCGGATGAACCTGAGCGTGGCTCGGGGGCCTCAGCTATTGCTCACCGTTATAGAGTTAATGAGAACACAATTAGGAGCATCAAGCTGATGGTAGCTGTAATACTGTATAAGGCGTACAAGACGATCTTTGAAACTTAAAATAAGACTGCCATAATTAGAGGTCATCTTATATTCCCAGTATAAAATGTCAACCTAAAATCCTACAGCTCAGGTCAGTCCCATGGGTGGCAGAGATTGTCGGCTAACACCTACCTAATTTTTACCACTAATACTTCCTACCTAAACTTTTGTTTGCTAGGTAAGCTTAATTAACAAATAAATTATAATTTAATACAAATGCAGCATAATGAAACTTGTCTTACCTAAAATAATATGTGGAAGGACTGTATGACTATCAACTGGAAAGCCATAGTTTTCTTAAAATACAGTACAGTAAATGTGAGGGATAAATACAAAATACTGTAATACCAAAAGTTATAAAAAAATTGCTGTACCTGTATTACCAAACCAGTAAATAAAAGCCAAATGAAAGTTTAACACAATCACACAATCCCACATGTAGTGGGATGTAAACAATCCCTGTATGTACTGGGCAGTTCCTAGTGAACGTGTCCGGTACCAATAAGTATTTGTAATGTGTATACCGTAGGTACCTATACTTATAATTACATCCTTTTGTATTAAATTAGGTAAATTTGATTAATAATACGAACAAATGTTTGATAATTTTAGGTCCATAAAGTGATGGTGAGAAACATAATAGCATAGAGCCAGTGACTTGGCTTTGCCAGTACAATAGGCTACTAAATCTGCAAAAATTATTTTTCCAAAATATACCTTGCTAATTATAGAGTGCATCTTATGACCTGGGAAATATGGCACAGTGATATCCCCGTTAGCTGGAAAAATTGGTGCAGAGCACTTCCTGGGATGAGAGATTTCTGGCTAACCAGATGACTTTCTCAAACCCAGAAAAATTACTTATCCCTGTACGGTAATTGTTTCTGGTTACTGGGAAAAGTTTCCGAGTGTCTAAGCTAGACATCTTGCACAGACACATACTCGCCCACTTCCCCAGAACATTTATGGATGCTGGGGATGTTTTCCTCGAGTTTAAACTTCCGGAGTCCGTAAATGCAGTTCTAATTAAGTTAGAAACTCTATTTCTTTACTACAGTGATCCCTCGGTTAACGAGATTTCGGTTAACGAGCAATCCCTCGATTAACGAGTTTTTTACAAGCCGACCTCAACATGTTTTCGCTTGCATTTGGCGGTCCACCACCTATAGTACTAGTCCGCAAATACAGTAAACGGTTTTAGGGCTTAAATTCCTTACTATTTTAGTAAATATCAAGAAGTTTATACTATTCAATAATTTTAAAAGTTTAATATTAATATTTTTTAGTCATTTTAACAATTATTGAACATAATTGAAGGTAAAGAAACTAGTTTCTGGCACGCCATCCAGCCTGTTAACACACAAACAGGCGTTAGTCTCTCTCTCTTTTCAGTGGAGGTAACATATTGCTTGAGACTCTCTTCAACTAAATGCTTTTTTCCTGTGTTTCCAAGCAAATTATTGGTCATTTTGAAATTTATTTTACATATTGACAATATATAATGCAGTGCAGTGTAGATTTAAAGAAAATAATCTTGAATTACACCAAGAGAACTAAAATTTTATGGGTGAAATGGCGCCAAGGGGTGACTTCTCTTCCACCCCAATGCCTTCTCCTCCACCCCCATTCTAATTCCCATCATCATCATCATCCAGGAGCCTTCTACATACACACCTCAAAGTAAGTGTGCTTTTCTACATTTTTTTGTTGAATTTAGGCAATTTTCTATGAGCTGGAACCAATTACCCAAAAACCCATTAAAACAATGGTTTCGGTTAGCGAGCAACATGCTGGAACGGATTGTGCTCGTTAACCGAGGGACCACTGTATAATAATCCAGAATAGTTTATCTAAAAGTCTGGTTAAATAAATGTATTTAAAATTTTTAAATCTATATTATGGGCATAAATAAAGATGTGTGTTACAGCTGTGGGGGATTAGTGGTTTTCATGGAATTGGCCTGACCCAATGTCAGGTGGAGGTAGGGTGGGGGATTAGTGGTCTCATATTACTGGAATATCAGGTCACCCTTTCTTGGATGGGGGATTAGTGGGTTTCATGGCCTGAAGATGTCTTGAACAAACACAAAACCTTAAGTATTTTTATGAAGATTGTAACATGTATAAGTATAAATGACCAAAGTCGTATCCCTTCAGTATTATGATACATAATACTTTTAAATGTGGAGTGAGAAAGCAGAAAGGTGTGGGTGTTTAGAGAGATGGAGTGGAAGTGAGTGTTGCCAAGAGCTCCTCAACAGCTGATATTTAATTCTCTACCACACAGATGTGTTATACAATAAGACCTTCCCCTCATGCTTGCTGTCTTAATGTATATATATATATGTGTGTGTGTGTGTGTGTGTGTGTGTGTGTGTGTGTGTGTGTGTGTGTGTGTGTGTGTGTGTGTGTGTGTGTGTGTGTGTGTGTGTGTGTGTGTGTGTGTGTGTGTGTGTGTGTGTGTGTGTGTGTGTGTGTGTGTGTGTGTGTGTGTGTGTGTGTGTGTGTGTGTGTGTGTGTGTGTGTGTGTGTGTGTGTGTGTGTGTGTGTGTGTGTGTGTGTGTGTGTGTGTGTGTGTGTGTGTGTGTGTGTGTGTGTGTGTGTGTGTGTGTGTGTGTGTGTGTGTGTGTGTGTGTGTGTGTGTGTGTGTGTGTGTGTGTGTGTGTGTGTGTGTGTGTGTGTGTGTGTGTGTGTGTGTGTGTGTGTGTGTGTGTGTGTGTGTGTGTGTGTGTGTGTGTGTGTGTGTGTGTGTGTGTGTGTGTGTGTGTGTGTGTGTGTGTGTGTGTGTGTGTGTGTGTGTGTGTGTGTGTGTGTGTGTGTGTGTGTGTGTGTGTGTGTGTGTGTGTGTGTGTGTGTGTGTGTGTGTGTGTGTGTGTGTGTGTGTGTGTGTGTGTGTGTGTGTGTGTGTGTGTGTGTGTGTGTGTGTGTGTGTGTGTGTGTGTGTGTGTGTGTGTGTGTGTGTGTGTGTGTGTGTGTGTGTGTGTGTGTGTGTGTGTGTGTGTGTGTGTGTGTGTGTGTGTGTGTGTGTGTGTGTGTGTGTGTGTGTGTGTGTGTGTGTGTGTGTGTGTGTGTGTGTGTGTGTGTGTGTGTGTGTGTGTGTGTGTGTGTGTGTGTGTGTGTGTGTGTGTGTGTGTGTGTGTGTGTGTGTGTGTGTGTGTGTGTGTGTGTGTGTGTGTGTGTGTGTGTGTGTGTGTGTGTGTGTGTGTGTGTGTGTGTGTGTGTGTGTGTGTGTGTGTGTGTGTGTGTGTGTGTGTGTGTGTGTGTGTGTGTGTGTGTGTGTGTGTGTGTGTGTGTGTGTGTGTGTGTGTGTGTGTGTGTGTGTGTGTGTGTGTGTGTGTGTGTGTGTGTGTGTGTGTGTGTGTGTGTGTGTGTGTGTGTGTGTGTGTGTGTGTGTGTGTGTGTGTGTGTGTGTGTGTGTGTGTGTGTGTGTGTGTGTGTGTGTGTGTGTGTGTGTGTGTGTGTGTGTGTGTGTGTGTGTGTGTGTGTGTGTGTGTGTTGTGTGTGTGTGTGTGTGAGCCAGAAGGCTGAAAATATACAGTTACATAATTGGGAAATGGGATCGATTTACAAATAATATACAAATAACATAAGTAATACAAATAAGATATAATATAACTAGATGGGGAAAAGCTCAAACTACAGTGGTCCCTCGGTTAACGAGCACAATCCGTTCTAGAAGGTTGCTCGTTAACCGAAAAACTCGTTAACCGAAACCATTGTTTCAATGGGTTTTTGGGTAATTGGTTCCAGCTCACCGAAAATTGCCTAAATTCAACAAAAAAGGTAAAAAAGTAAACTTACTTTGAGGTGTGTATGTACTGTAGAAGGCTCCTGGATGATGATGATGGGAATTAGACTGGGGGTGGAGGAGAAGGGAGAAGAGAAGGCATTGGGGTGGAAGAGAAGTCACCCCATGGCGCTATTTCACCCATAAAATTTTAGTTCTCTTGGTGTAATTCAAGATTATTTTCTTTAAATCAACACTGCACTGCATTATATATTGTCAATATGTAAATTAAATTTCAACATGACCCATAATTTGACTGGAAACACAGAAAAAAGCATTTATGTTGAAGAGAGTCTCAAGCAAGATGTTACCTCCACTGAAAAGATACAAAGACTGATGCCTGTATGGTGTGTTGAGAGGCTGGATGGCGCGCATAAAACTAGTTTCATTTCCTTCAATTTTGTTCAATAATTGTTAAAATGACTAAAAAATTTAATATTAAACGCACACATATATTTACAAAACAGGTAGAGGAAATTGCTGTCTCTAGAATGACTGGCTCCCTGTCCCAGTTGCAAAAATGCCGGCAACTTTTAAACTGCCCACAGACATTCTTGGGTACATCCAGGGTGTCATCTGTGAATAATAGAGGACCGCGAAATATTAATTCACGAATTTGGGGGCCCCCTGTATTTTTAACCTATGAGGTATATACATAGTACTGTACTGTATTGTATATGAAAGGTACAGGTATTATTAAGCACAGATTTATTTTTTTTTAAATTCCGGCTTTGGGAATGATTTTCCGAACAAATTTCAATTCCAGCTATTGGAGAGTTCCAGGTTTGCGGGATTCCGGCTAATGGAAATATTACTACTCTGCACTGTCCTGTAGTGCTGACTCCTCTTGATCCCTGGCACACAGCCTCAGATTTATTTTATTTATTTTCCATGGCAATCCGCGAGTTTACGAGGGACGCAAGCTTTAAAACTGTGAACTTTAAGGGAATACTGTACCACAAAAGCAAGTCATATTATAAAGGCCTAGCATGGAAAATAATAAGTGATAGTGAAATGTAGTGCAATATAGGTTTGAATATGGGTTATGTGAATTATAGTGAATATATTGTGCCTATTTGATACGTATTTATATTTTTGACAATATTTCAAATTTTGTCACAGAACATCTAACTGGTCTATTTCTCTTCCTTAGTATGTGGACAGTAATAATCCATCATAAAAAAAATTATTTCAAAAGATTTTGACAAAAACACTAGCAAGGAAATAAAAATGTGTATAAATATTTCGGCGACTGTGCACCTAACCAACAGTTATTTTTACTTTTTATTCTATAACTCCGTAACTTTTTACATTATCTCTTTTTATGATTACACCATCGTCTTCCTCATGAGTTACTCTTTCTTGCCGTGTACATTTTATACTGACTTATGCAATGATGTGGGTACAGCACGAAGAGGAATCAACAGTAAACTCTCAGTTTTCACTTATAATTTGCCAAAATGTTTTTTATTTATTATTTTATTTTTGAGGGTTTCATATGATTTCCCAGCCTTTTTAATGCAGGAAGGCATCATTTGAATAAATATTTGACAATATCTTAGCCATGAATAGTGCTTGGGAAAGAAAATATTTCTATACGATTTCTGGTCATTCTGCGGGCTCCAAACAGGGCAAGTGACAGGCTCATTAAATAAATTTCAGGCAATCCTGAGTGTTAATTGTATAAATCGAGAATTTATTTACCCCCATGGCGCATCCTACTGATTCTACGCTCTCACCAAGCACTACTCTATCGAGCACTTCAACTTTCTTTTCAAGTCATTACATTCCTTATCCTCTTCACTTTCTTCTCACCTTTATCATAAAACTCAATGCACACTTAGGGGCCATAGTTAAAGGCAAAATCAATGTTATTACTGTAGAAAATGTCCAATAAAACATGTCTGCACAGTATGAGATCACACAACTGAGAGAGCATGGTGGGAGGCTGGACACTTCACGGATGAATACATTGGAGCACAGAGGGAAATTTAATGCTGCGGTTGGTTAAATGGTATAGAGAGTAAAGGCCGTGGATACCTGAAATCCACTGATGGAAAATCTGTGGTTGGCGAGGGACTACTGAATTTTTTACATTGTTTGTTTTAATGGGCTATTGTTGTTTTGTAAGGGCAGGGTTGTGCTTTAACCTACCCTAAACTATGGAATTAACACTGTTCTGACTTATGAACAGGATCCAGGAATGTAACCTGTTCATAACTTGGGGACTGCTTGTATCTGTTGTATAGATAAGCCATAAGACATTGATCCTCATCTGTGACCCAGATCTTTAATATGAGAGTTGAGACACCTGAATACCGTACTGTATTCTACACTTTGTTTAGTGAAGACACATTTTTAAACCCTTCATAAGAACATATATACTCACAGAAAAGTTGTACTCCAAATAAACATAATTATCACCTTTGACTTTACAAATAATGTATATCAGGAATCCCATGCAGGTTTCACTTAGAAAGGGGCATATCTAGGGATCACTGGGATTTAGAAAATATATCCATTTCTAGGTTATTTATTTTTGTTTAAGAGGGACCAAGCAACCACAATGTCAGAAAGCCATACAAATGGAAGGAAAAGTTCATAGATGGCACGGAACATGACAATACCCCTCTGGCCCTAGAGACTGAGAGGTAAAATGCAAATCTAACAAAAAAGAAACTATGCACTTCTTAACAATTTCTACGGTACACAGGTTGTGAATAATAAGACACAAGGTGCTGTGGAAGTGAAGGCGGAGTTCAACAAACAGCTTATCAGGACCAGTCTTAACTGTATTGAGTCTGGGTATTTATTTGTAAAGAGGATGAACAATTCATAGGTGAGTATTATGTTAAAGGGATTAATTAAATATTAAGAAGATGGGGGTTTGAGGTGGTACTGGATGGGAGGAGGATGGACATCTAGGAAGAAGTTATGTGCATGTATGAATCAGAAAGAATAGAGCTGAATGTTTTTTGGAGATATATGATGCTGCAGTATAATACGTGACATGGTGAAGAAAATGTTGAAGTTTTTGAGAAAATCAAGATGTAGTAAAATGTGTACCCGTATTATAATTTTTATTATATTTTCGCCACCCAGGCCCCAATGTGGGTCAGTGACTTGTGCCCGGGTAGGCTAATACAAAAAAAAAAAAAAAAAAAAAAATTAACCATTCTGAAAACCGAAAAATTCCAAAATCCAAAATGCCTCTGGCCCCACGGATTTCGGATAAGGGATTGTCAACCTGTACTATATTTTCAATCAAGGTTATAAACATAAAATAAACTTTTCCCCATGCTTAAAGACACAGCACAGCTGACCATAATATATTTAGACCTTTTTAATAATGATCTAATTACATGATAAAACATCTACTACATACTGTACTGTATATAGTAAAAATTCATATTTCTCAGTGTAAGAGTTAGTAGCATCTATAGTCTTCATGGATTTCTTTAAAATAAATGGAAACATTCCAAAACATCTTTAAAATAAAAATATATTCATTTAACAATTACCTTCTCATTAAGAATATTGAGAAATTTTATATGGATAAAATTTAGTTATTCATGTAAATGAGAAGTGTCAAACTTAAATATGAAAGCAAACTTATTCTTGCCTTATAGGTGCTTGCCACACCCATATTGTCTTAACATTCTTTGAATTTTCATATTTGATTTGCATATGATCAAAATTATCGCTTTAGGGTTTTCATACGCAAATTTGCGTAAGAACGCAAGATACGCAAGCCACACATTTGACAACATCAGTGTGATCTGGCAACTATGTACACTGCCTCCTCCAAGGTTATGTGCGTAACCACACCAGTCGCCCTTTACGATTCAACAATAGAGGACGTAACCTTGACCTACATTTTCCACCATTTCTTCGTGACTTGTTCTGATTTCTCGTTCATCACAGCGATTTCATTTATATATAAAAGTGTTGTGATAGTTTTGAACCATGCCCCATGTTGCTAGCGAAGGTGGAAGGGTGAGAAAACATAAACAGTACAAGGAGAGTGCATCATGTGGTGCCTCCTGAAGCATCTCCCAACGTCCCTGGCCCTTCAACAAGCAGTCCTAGTGTGAAAGAAACTGCCAGGCATGTTGTTGTGACTAAAAATAAAAATATAAAAAGTGTTGCGCATGTGACATCTCAACCACCAGATGGCTTACCTCATGGCCACTCATCTCCCTCACAAGTGACACGACTTGTACTCCCACTAAAACTAGATTTAGTCGCCTTGTTCAGGCTAAGTACTGCACTGTGAAGCAGGGTAATGACCCAGAACTAATGATGAGTGTACTTGATGATTATAATCGAGATATTGTGAGTGATAGAGAAGTGCATAGTGATGACAAGCGTGTGGGTGGCCAAGGTAGACGGAGGCAAAGTGCTGGTTCTCCCTCCCTCAGTGATAACTCATCCCCTCCGCAGTCCTCACCACTACCTGCACCATTTCCACCATCTGCTGGGAGATGTTTGAATAAAAACAATTTACCACCTTTTGTTCTCCCATTCACAGGATTACCAGGAATCAAGGTTCCCATTCCTCTTACAGCCCTGGGATTTCTGCAGCTGTTTATCACCGCTATGCCCTTTTTTGTCATCAGCAGCGTAACACTGATAGCGATTCCTGGATCCCTGTCACTCTCCCAAAGTTGTAAAATTCCTGGGGTTGATGATCATAATGGAAGTGATGACAGCTGCCAGGCAGTATATATACTGGGAGATAGGGGAACTCTATCACGTCCCCTTCTTCAAATTATGACTTTAAAGAGGCTCAAACAGATAGCAAGACACCTGCATTTCTGCAACAATGAAGCTCTTGTGAATCCTGGTGATTGACTGGCCAAGGTGAGAACAGTGATGGAGTAACTGCAGAAGCTCTTTAAGTCCTACTACATCCCCAACAAGGACCTGTCTCTGGATGAGGGTATTATGGCATGGCATGGGCAACTTGTGATCAGGTGCCATAATCCTGACAAGTCCCCAAAATACGGTGTCAAGTTCTACATTCTCGCTGAGGCAGACAGTGGGTATGTGCACAAGTTCATTTTGTACTAGGGCTTAGGCACAAAGAGCAACTGATTGAGGGACTGGAGAACAAGGGCTATACACTGTACATGGACAACTATTATAACAGCATTAGGCTTGCTGATGAGCTCCTTTGTGTTGGAATCCACTTCTGTGGCACGCTACGCCTGGACCGTGGCACCCCCAAGGAGTTCAGACACAAGGTGAAAGACAAGAAATTCCCTGTACATACAGTGGAATACCGGCGACGAGATAATACCTTTGTCATCAGCTGGAAGGACAAGAGGCTAGTAACCATGATCTTAACCTGCCACAATGCCGACACATAACTAGTCGTCATGAAGAAGGTCAAGGAAACAGGACACAGCAGGTTCGAGTGACAAACACTCCAAGAGACCCAAGGCCACATGATAGTACAACAAGAATATGAATGGTGTTAATCACTTTGACCAGATGGTGAAGTACAATCAGTTTGTACAATGCACCCAACGTTGGACAAAGTAAATGTTCAAATTCTTCCTCCAGATGGCCATGTTCAATGTCCACCATCTGTACTCTGTCTACTCCAAGCCATTTTATGTGAATCCTGATAACTTTAGTCCCAGTGCAAAGCAGTTTTAAGACATTAAAAACATTTCAGGGAAGTATCTCTGTACGTAATGTACAGCCACACCAAGTTAATACAGTATTGGGTATACTGTTCACACTTTAACAAACAATAAACATGCCTGGTAAGTGAATTTTTATTCTATTTATATGTGCACTTAACATTACTAAAAATAAAAAGTAATATCGTTTTTATAAAATTAAATACAATGGGACCACATCCCTTCTTATCCCATTAGTTCTTACTGAAAAATTTCTTAGATTTATGTCCTTCCATACCCTCCAGAAACACATCACTGACGTAAACAGAGGTATACAGTATATTACTATATACATAAACCTCCCAATTAACTACAGTAGTGTGTGGAGAAACAATTAAAATGAACTTACCCTTGGGCCATAAGTAAGAAATTCTCCTCCTAGGAACTTGTCAACAAGGAACAGCTGACCAATGATATTCACAAAGGACAGTAACTCGCAGAACCAGTATTTGAAGACGTAGCCATTGTGCATCTATAAAGATCAAACAGAAAAGCCATATTTAATAATTTTTCTAATGCATACATTCATCTTGTGTAGGGATAAACTGATCAATGAGGAATGTTGCCAGATGTTTGACTGATAAGAGAAGCCACAATGTTTAAATTATTGTAAAGCAGTTACTTCTGTATTATTTTTTCCTTAGATAATGACCAAGATGTTAGGTATGATTTCAGCTGCCCAGTTATGACTACAATGCACTGTATTTACATACATAAACTGTATTTTCATAAATATATTTTTATAACTGTAACTAATTTACAATACACATTACCATGCAGATTATCACATGTACATTATATATATATATATATATATATATATATATATATATATATATATATATATATATATATATATATATATATATATATATATATATATATATATATATATATATACACACACACACATATATATACACCTAGACCCCGACTTACGACGGGGTTAGGGACCCAAATCCAGGTCGCAAGTCCGACATGGTCGTAAGTCCGACATAGATAAAAAAAAAATAAAAATAAAAAATTAATAAAAAATCTACAATGAAATACAGTACAGTAAAAGTAATGAATAATGATGAATGGATACAGTACAGTGAAAGTAATAAATAATAAGGAATGGATACAGTGTGACTGAGCACTTAACCTTTAATGTAGTCAGCTGAATGCACATGGGGCCCCCATAATTTTCTAATTATACATGGAGACTACATTAACTGGAAACGTTTCGGTATAGAAAATGCGTGTCATTTTTTTTATCTATATCTGAGGCGGTCGTAGTCCCGACGGTCGTAAGTCCACGTAGTCGTAAGTCGGGGTCTAGGTGTGTATATATATATATATATATATATATATATATATATATATATATATATATATATATATATATATATATATATATATATATATATATATATATATATAAAGTAAATCACTGTAGGTGCGCGTGATCCAGGTATATGCTGATAACCACAAGGAAAAAGAAAACATGAAGTTCCCAAGCGCTTTTGTGTAATTCACATCTTCAGGAGTGAGTACAGACTAAGGAGAAGTACAAAACAAGGTATATATATACAGAGGAGGGTGAGATCAGGTCCACAATGGTCAGGTATTAGGTAATGACCCTACTAATCTTTAAAAAGCACTGCAACGGTCGGTAGTCAGGTGAGAGGGTAAGGTGACCCAACCTTCTCACCTGGTTACAAATCTTTTTAATTACAAAATTGTCCAGTTTGTACATGCCATTACTCAAATTCATGTTGACTGCTTCGGTATGTTTAATGAGACTAGATTCTATAATGTTCCTACTGTCAATTGAATTACAAGGTAATATTGAGGAGGCATTATCCCAGTCAATGCAATGCTTATTATCCCTCAGATGAACAAACAGAGCATTGGATTCCTGGCCTGTCCTAACACTATATTTATGTTGCTTAAGTCTAGTTACAAGATCTTTACCTGTCTGGCCTAAGTAAAACATATTACATTCCTTGCAAGGCAAGGAACTTTATAAATGCATTTGTTTAACAGTGCATGAGTTTTTAAATGCCACATTGACATTTCAGGTTTTTAGTTGTAAAGGAATGTGAGAAATTTTTGTGAAATG